AAACAGAATCATAGATGATGTGGGTGGGTGTGGGATGTGGGGTGTGGGTGTGGGTAGGTGTGGGTGTGGGTGTGGGTGTGGGCGTGGGTATGGGTGTGTGGGTGTGGGTGTGGGTGTGTGGGAGGGGTGTGGGACGATCGAAAGACAGCCACACACTCACACTCACACCCACACCCACACACCCACACCCACACACGCACACCCACACACGCACACCCACACCCCACACCCACACCCACACACCCACACACGCACACCCACACCCCACACCCACACCCACCCACGCCCCCACCCACATCCACATCATCTATGATTCTGTTTAGGAAATCTCAATATTTTCCCTATTATTTCGCAGATTCTTAATATTTTTTAAATTAACTCTCATTATTGCATAACAATTTGGTTTTGTGCTTCAAAAATTGAAGACATACAAAATTTAGAGATATTGAAATGTAACTCAATTTTGATTAATAGCTATTTAGTTTTTCAAGGATTGATCATATTATTTTTATTTTTTCATAGTTTTGTAGTGGCAACGTTTTTGTATCGGAAAAGTTAAACTTTTTTTTCGTCAGAGGTCCTATAAAAACACAATATCAATTTGAAGATGAGAAGGATGAGTTGAAAAAAATGTTTTTTTCTTGTGTTTTCTAATTTTCAAGGGTAATCGGTCAAATCAATTAATTTTGTTTCTCATTTTACATGAATAGATAGAGTAAAGTAAGAGGAATATTTTTTGTGTCAGACTCAACTTATGAAATCCAACTTGAGAAGTGCTATAGATTTTGCAAATTCTCTTCAGCTATAATTGCTGGGATGAGCCGAGTCGCCCCAGTACGTTTTGCTTGAGTGATCCAAATTACACCAGACGACTATACTTAGTTTCTGAAAATATTCAACAGTAGAAATTTTCTCAGATTTCATTAGAAATATCGAATGTATTATAGTAAATCAAAATTTCTATTGCTCTACTTTTTTATTCTCCCTTCTTTTAGATATAATTTTCATTAAAAAACTTGGGCGCTACTGATGCTGATGGTACAAAATCTTTTTTCAATTGTATTAAGTACAGAATTTATTTTTTTAATTATTGTTATCTTATGTATTTAGATTTTTACGTCATCAGACGGCAATTTAAGCACTGCCTTGCGGAAGATTCCAGCAACAGGCGAATGACATTTGAAAAATTATGTCTTTGCGGGTTGTCAACTGGTTTTTATGTAGTCTACGTTAAACATTTTTTCGTATAAGAAATTTCTTTAAGAAATTTCTTTTTTGTAACACTTTGTTTGCTTTCGCATTCATCATGTTTTCTTGTTGAATACCACATGAAATTTATATTAGTGGTCATTTAAGATTGTGATTTCTTGTGTTATCAGTTAAAATTTCGAAAATAGAAGTATTTGTTGAACTTATTTACAAGTAAAGCTTTTAAATATACCTATGGTCCACTAGGAATACAGGTGCAGTAAAATACCGGAATATGCGACAGTGTGACACTATAGCGCGTAAAATTATTTATATTGTCGTTACATCGCACTATTGTGGACGTAGCGGGTGCTAAAAGGGATCAGTATGCGATCGATAATAGTGGCGATATCACGCCGCTATTTAATCGCTATCGATGACATTGGTTAAAACTTACTACGAGCATTGCGCTGCAACGCAGTTGTTAAAAAATAGGCGAGATGAGTATAAATATTAACAAATAAAAACGTTTTTTTCACGTAACTCCGTCAGAAGATGAGAGATGACAATGATAATGTACACTCTAAAAAATAAAGGTCGGAAACCGCCACAAATAGGTTTCCGAAAATACTCTTCTTTTTTCAGAGTGCATATCAGCCTCAGTAGAAATTTTTCGATTCACGTTTATTTCTAAAAGTTCACAAATATTAAATTTCATCTCTTGAAATACTTTATTCATATTTAAAAATGGAATCATTTTTCATTTTCAAAATATAAATTCTGTCAAACATCAATGAAATCATAGTTATGTAAGTCTGTTTATTGTAGTGTAAAACATAAACAAATTTTCTAAATTTTTATCTCCATATTAAATGATATGTTAAACAGAAAAAAAGGAAAAAAAAGATTATACTATCAGTCATCAATTCATTCGTTGCCCATTCAGACTATAAAAAAAACATCATTGTTTGTCATTGACTACATCGGTCAAATAGAGCACATGATTACGTCTGAATAAATAACAACATTTATAGGCGAAAAAGAATAGATGAATGGAGATGACCATGGGATATTCATGTGTTGAATTGAATCATTTACCTGATGAAATTCTTCTGATTATTTTTAAAAAATTGAATAATGTCGCATTACTTTACTCTTTAATAGGTGTTGATGTACGTTTAAATAAAATAGTATATGATTCTATTTTTACAAAGCATTTGGTCTTAATGACATTTGCTTCTAATGGTTGTGTTTATTCGTTGGCTGATCTAATACTTGATCGATTTTGTTCGTATATCTTACCTGAAATTCGTCAAAAAATCGAATGGCTTGAACTTGAATCGTCATCAATGAAACGTATTCTTCTTGCGACAAATTATCCTAATTTATATAAACTTGGCATATATAAAATTCAAGCCGAAAGAGCTGTCCATCTTTTTTCTGGTAAGATATTTGATTTCGAATCTTCCATTGATAAATACACTAAAGCTATATGTCAAGTAAAATCATTTGAATTAACTTCTAATCTTATTTATTGGATAACTGCACATTTTAATATCTTTCATATAACTTGTCCTTTATTTTTATTTATCAATATGAATGAGGATAAAACTGTCATGAACGAGATCGTTTCAAATAGAGCATAAATGTTTATATCAACCAAGAAATTAAGATAAACTTTCGATATTGTCTTCAATTTGAACTTTTAAACGTAAATGAGAATTGATGGTTTCATTATTTTTCATTTCACGAAATTCTAACTAAATGACATTCGAGAATTGGTAGAGGTATCCTTCTGAGATTTTTTGTTGAGTCAAAATTTTGAAATGTGACTTGAAAAATTTTGACTCAACAAGGGGAGGGGAGGTCTCCTAGGAGGCCAAAAACAATTTATTCTTAATTTGAAGTTTTCGTATCTAGTCTTTTAGAACTGGCCACATTGATCGCGAATATCAAATTTTATTGAAATTTAATCAGACAATAAGAAATATTCTAAGACTTTTCTCGCTCTAATCCTTACAGATTTTTAATAGAAAATAAAAACATAGTTCAAAAGCGCTTTATAAAGTTATGTTCAGAGTATTCCAATGATTTTGATCTAACCCACTTTTTTAGGTTTTATCCAAGTTTGAAAGAATCTCCAACAAATATTGAGATCATTAGTTCGATAACATTCTTTAGCAGATCCGATTTTTCAAATTTGTATCTATTAAACAAAAGTTTCTATGCCGTAATTCACTAAAAGAACGTCCATTCACATCCAAACTTATAGTATCTACGTAATTTTACCTACTTATGAACATTTTTTATGACGAAAAGAAGTCGACCAGATATCGCACGAGTATCCATAAGGCAAACTGATGGCTTGCGAGACATTACAGTAGCCTCGGAAAGATCATGTTTTCAATTGAAAAACACAAGATCTAAGCTGTATTCATTTTGACAGTAACTGAGGTTTCTTCGATGCCCCCTTAAAAAGCAAGAAGAAATAAATGGTGAAATTTTTAGTTATCGAGACGTTAATATTTTTAATCTTTTCATTATTTAGATGAAACTCTTTTCCATTGTACTTTGAAAAAACAAATTTCAGCGCTGGTTATTGATACTGATGGAGATGGAGGACAAACAGCAACAGAAAATGTGCATAGACTTTTATTCACACATATCCTTACTACATTCACTAATCTACAATATTTAAGTTTTGGTCCATCTTCATTTTGGTATCAACAATTATCTTTCAATATTTCGTCTCCAACTGTTATCTCCTCAATTCTGTTAAAATTATGCGTTTGTTTGGACAATTTTATCGATTGTCTTTATTTACTTGATGGACGTTTCAATCAGCTTCGTACATTTTATGTTAAAATTGAATTCATAACCATTTCACGTTTAACAATCAATAACAAGGTAAATCATTTTGATTAATATTTTATTTATTCTAATAAAGTGATGTTTGTTCTTTTTTTTCTAGGAAAAACTACCTAATCTACGATCGTTTTCGCTATATAGTGATATTAGTACAGATCTCTATGATGAATTAATTGTACCACTTTTACATCGAATGCCAAATTTAGAAAAACTTGATTTGTCTCTTCTATTTTGGGTCAAAAAAACATTTATTGATGGCAATGTCTTGAAGACAAGTATTATCAATCATATGCCACGATTAAATAAATTCACATTTAATATTCGTTCATCCGTTCATTTTGATGATCATATTAATTTACCATCAAATGTAGATATTCAAAAGACATTCAAAGATTTTAAAGATAATCAAATTATTTCATGTGTTGATTATTATTCAAAGACAAAAACAAGTCGATGTCATATTTATTCATACCCATACAAATTAAAATATTATAATGATATAACAAATAATTTTGCTGGTGGATTATTTAAATGTGTTCGTAAAGTGTCATTAGTTGATGAACGTTCTTTTGAACACAAATTTTTTCTTCAAATTGCTCAATCATTTCCATTGTTGAGAGAATTAACTGTAATTAATCAGAAACGACAAATTGATAAACAAATTAGAAAATCAAAAAACGAAAATAAGGACTTACCAATCATTGAATATCCTCATCTTGCTCAACTTGATCTTACTGGTGCTCACATAGATTATCATGAACAATTTTTAGTGGACACCAAAACGTATTTACCAAATAATCTTCGCCTTTCTATGAATTGTCGATCTGCGAAAAAAGTGACACGCAATTTCAGACGAAATACAACTCGAAGTAATTGTGCGAAACTGAGTTATGTATATTTATTTAGACAATTCAAATTTCCTGAACACTTAAAAGACTATTTTCCTCATGCGGAAATATTCTGAATATCGTCAATTATTATTAAAATAAAATAGATCAATTTACATAAAATTATAATATTAAGGTTAATATAGATATCAGAGACTGACGGGATGCGGGACCAATCCTGTCCCGTCCCGTCCCGTCTCGTCCCGGGACGGGACGGGAGAAGAAAAAAATAAGTAGGGCGGGACT